CCAATCGTTTTGCCCTCACCATCAGTGGGGTGAGTATATCCATCAATGACCAAATCCCATAGATCAGCATCATAGCCTAGAAAGAAACTTTCTATTCTATCCTTCCAATAATCAAATTTCTCTCCATCAAACATGGGAGGTTTGGTGTTGATTCTATCTTTATCATCATATTTGTTCAACCCGGTGTTGTTTGACTGTTCAGCCATAATATATCAAAGATAATAAATCAAGAGTTTTTCCAACTAGATCTTTCTCTATCACTGTTAAGTGATAGCACTACAGAGCCGGAGCTCTGATACCAACTGAAGGTGGGAAAAACACTTAGAAGGGGGGTTGAATAAGGGTTTTAAAAACAACTATGACAACAAAAAACAAGGTATTTTTATCCTGGTTCATTTGAACTCAAACTACTCTAGTCCACCCAGCCAAGGTGATTTTCCTTTCTCAACAAGCACTTAATCCACTAAATCAAACTGATTACAGTGATACCACTAAGACAAACAGTCTTAGTCTTCTCAAGAAATCTGACCACAACTTGGTCTCTTAAGGATCTTTTACAAAAGATAAACTACAATGTGTTTAGGTGCTTCTAAAAAGCTATTATCACAAACAGTGATTTTTACACAAGTTAAGAACGAATAAACTATTCAGCTTTGAATAAGATTGTTTGAGTTGATCAAGAGTAGTTGTTCAATAATTCGTCAACTTTGATAATATGTTGAAGTCTTGCTTTTATAGTGCTTGAAGTCCATTTCTTAAAGACTGTGCAATACTTTGCAGCTGCAGCATTTTGTCTTCTTTGACTTTCCTTTCCCGGAAGAGGAATGTTCAAACATATCCTTTTTGTCTGAATTCCTGTGTCATACACAAATGAGGAAAGAGTCGTTTGGATAAGGACAAGGAATATGCCAACGGATCTTTATTTGAACAACATCTTCTTCAACAAGTTTCTTTATCAAAGTTACTCTTATCAGAGCATCTACATCAGAGTTGATGTCATCAGAGTTTTGCAGCAATAGTGCTTTAGCGTGAATATCTTGATTAGAGCAGACTTGTTTATTAGAGCCTCTGTACTTGCAGCGTTTAGTACATCCAGAGTCTTCTGAAACAATGCTTCATACTCTTTGCTCAGAGTCTTCTTAAGCTACGCTTTAGAGTCTTCTGCAGCTTCGCTCAGAGTCTTCTGTAGCTTTGCTTATGACGCTCAGAGCTTTGCATTACTTAATTTCCAAAGGAGTTTTTGCTTCCAAAGGAATATTAAATTTAATATCTGAAACAAAAACACTTGAACAAAATTAGAGTATATATTTACTTCATAAAAAATTCCATTAATGTTATCATCAAAACATAGAGATATATTAAGAACCAATTTGTGTTCTAACAACTTTGAGGTATAATTTTGAAGAGTGGTTGAGGTTTGACATTGTGGGTACAAACACACAAATGTGTGGGTGTACTCATAGAAAAGTATATGGGTTATCTTGTGTTTGTGAGTTAGGGAGATACACATTGAGTGGTGATTAAATACCAATTGATGATATTCATATCCATTGAAGAAAGCTAAGCATGGAAGGTGAACAATATGTAGATCCATAGGATGGATCAAAGGTGGACATGACCAATGCAATTGATATATTATGGAAAAGATTCTGGTCACTAGATGTTGCAGGAAAAAGAGGTCATGTTCATGGTTATCCCAAACCTCAAAGAAGAAACCATCTAATACGTTCATTGTACAATTTTCAGATCATATCAGATTGTTTATTGATGACATTGTTGATGTTAAGAGTGATAAAAATTATGGGTTTAGAGTCATTGCATCATTTCATGGGTATAGTGAGGATGGTTGGCCAAGCATTCGCCATGACTTAGATGGTGAATTAGAGTTTCTAGAAGCAGTCTCTATGAGAAGTTATTTAGAAGTCGCTTATCAAAAGTGAGAGAATCCTTTATGATATTATACTTAGGTCCTTATCCACAAGAGAAATGGATGACATATAGTACAACTATGACATATCATTTAAAGCCACCCATGTACAAACATATATCATCAAATGGACGGTGTTGTCTATGATCCTCAAAAGGGCGCCAAATGGAATCAGCAGGTGTCAATGTATCCAGCACAGGACTAAGCTCATCAACCTTTTGTGCACTTTGCTTGTACACCCATTTCATCTCCCTAGGAAGTGGACTACCGATTCCAGCAATCTTAGACAGTCCTCTCTTGCCAACAGTTGGATATTACTCATGAATCCAACATTTTTACACAAAGTTGATATTATCAATTAAAATTATTATAAATAAGTAAAAATAAGTAAAAATAAAATTAAAATAAAACATTAGTAGCTATAGCAGAAAGGCATATCTATCAAGTTGATTGCACGTATAAAAGGAAGCATCTCCGAGATATTTATAGAGTATGACAAGTGCACCTGCCCCCCAACTATATCTATCCAAGCAAGTCCCTAAATAGTGATAAATGCTTTGCCTCTACAAGAGTAAAAATCTTGACGACAAAAATGGTGCAACCTACCAACAACAACATATAGGCTCTAGCAGCACAATCAAATATACTCTCAACTTGCTGACGCATAAATATCTCCTCTAACCAATCCAACCTATAATAAGCATCCTTATAATTACAAACCTCTTCAGCTACCTCCTTCAATGTAACACCCAACAAATCAATAATAAGAGTAATAGCATCAGCGTCAGCGAAACCTCGTGTAGGGTTACATAACTCCCCTTACAAGATAAATGAAGAAGACAAAAAAACATCTTCTAATATAATAGTCATCTTGCCAAATGGCATATGAAAGGACGATGTTTATGGATGTCGTCTCTCTACAAGTGCTAATACTAAATTTTGATCTATACTCGACAAATCAGTTCTCTATAGAAAGGATAGACCAGAATCAGATAATCATCTCTCTATCAGTGGTGGGACACTGTGTGGAATCCATCCTATTAATTTGCTACCATGTGCATAAATCTTTAATTCTTTCTTCGGATTTCTCTCCTAAAAATAATTTATAGTATATGTTATAAAGTATAAGTAATTAAAATTAAAAATGAATCAACACAAAATAATAGAGATTAACTTACTTTGTCGAACCATAAATGGCAAGCAACATGATCCGGATACCTCATCAGAAGAGATGTATCGTACGATCCTCCGAAAAATGTGGTTGTTGTAGACGAGACTCAGGTTCGACTATCTGATGTTCCTCTCCGTCCATCGCCTGTTGAGGTTGTCTTCATTCACCCCTTCGTCGAATAGTCTCAGTCTCTCTTGTGCGACACTAAAAATAATAAAGAAAACAAAGAAAAATAAAAACAAAAACCGATATAAGTTCTCCTGACGAAAACAAGAACCAGATAATCTTGGTGCATGTTTTCCAAATACAACATTAAGATCGGATAACAAGATGAAGAGTTATCTGGTTAGAATAGATGTAAACCGGATTACTACATGTCAAGTTATCCGATGTATAATATATTTTTTTGAATCAAACCGGATAATTTACTTGTAAGATTTCCGGTGTGAAAAAGTAGTGAACCAGATAACTATGATTTGTATTCTCCGATACGTTGTTGAAACGAAACGAATATCTTCAAAATGAGCTTTCCCTAAAATGAAATAAGAAAGAAAAAGAAATTGAAATCTATGTATTTATACAAAGGTATTTCTACATAATTTATAATTTGTAATTTGTAATGATAGAGAGATAAACGAAAAAATATGAAGTAAAATTTTCTATCATTAATTGTGAAATTGTTGAGCAACTTTTCATATCTCATGTTAATATACCACACACGACTCCTGAAGTAATGAATTGTTTGAATGCATTTTAACTTTTAATTTTTTAAAAATATTTTATAAAGTAATTTTAAAAAGAGATTTATAAAAATAATTAAATATATATTTGATAATTTTATTTTTAAAAATTATTTTAAAATATATAATATTACAAATTTATCGTTACTGAAATCATTTTTTTTTCTTTCTTTTTTTAATTGCAATTTTGATCTCGCAATTTTTTTTTTTCTTTTTATCATGTATTTTAAAATTCAAAATTTTAATTTTATTTTTTTTACTTTTAATCCACTTATTTTTAAAATCTGAAATTTTGATTCTTCTATTTATTTATTTTTTACTTTTGATCTCTTTATTTAAAATTTTGTTTTGCATTTTAGTTCTTTTCAAATTTGAATTTTAAAATAAGACCAAAAGTCAAAGAAAAATAAGATAGATAAACTAAAATTCTCTAAATAGATAAATAAAGGAACCAAAATTCTAAATTTTAAAATAAGATGACCAAGAGTATAAAACATGAAAATATAAAAGAACAAAATTACAATTGAACTTTTTTTTTTCTTACTAATTTTCAAAACTAAAATTCAAAAACCAAAACTTCTAAAATCTAGTTTTGTTTTTTTAGCTTTTAAAACTCAGAATAATTTTCAAAAATTGCTTTATAAAATACCAAACAAATTTTAAAAACTAAAAAATAATTTTACCCAACCAAATCAAACTTACCCTTTGAGTGCAAAAAGTTCCTCTGTTAATATTAAGAACTTCTAATTGGTAAAATCTAATTTCTTTTTATGTCTATTTAGAAGAGAGACACAAGTGCTTCATTAGTGAGAATCATTCGTGAGTTTCAGTTATAAAATTAGGGAGGGGATTCATTCATCATTTGTATCTATCTCACTCCTAAATGAAAGGTTGCACTCATAGATAATAAATATGGGGTTAAGGTTTCTCGATAAAAAGAGGATAAACCTCGCCTTCTTTCAAAAAAAATGAGCGTGAGCATTACACCATATATCCAATCTACCTAAAATCAGAAGATACCATCTTACATAAGATTACATCAAGCTTTACATCAGTTCAAGCGTGGTTAGCTCCATATGCAAATTTGCTATGGCTGAAATCCAGGATAAGAACATTCGTGCTAATCAAATATATATGCAGGGTTTGCCATTGTGTGAAAAGCTTACCTCCCCCGTACACTGGCGGGAGATTGACCGCATCTCTCACTGCCAATATCATCATCTATCTCGCTAGAATCTAAACATATACCATTTTGGTTAACACTCATTTCAGAACTAGCATTACTGCTTGTTGCGTGAGGAGAGCCTGATATACTAATTGTTCGGCCACGCTGAGATCCAGACCTCACACTATACATAGAAGATGCCGGAATATTTGTCATCAATGGCCGTAAATTACCTGGAATGGTTCTCCTTATATCCTGTTCAAAAAGAAACGAGCAAAAATGATTAGAAAAGAAGTATAGAATTTAACCAGATCTAACAAGTTTAAGTTAATCAATTCCATAATTATTAAAACCATGAAGTTCTAATAGGCATTTCTATTCTCATTCTCTCTCTCTGCCAATGTCATTATAGGCCCGACACACTTCTTAAGAAAACTATGAGTTATGTTGAATTTTAGAATATAATAATGTGAGGAGTGAGAACTACAATTCTCATACTAATTGAAGTAGTTGAAAGTTGTAGTAATGAAGTAGAGTGTTCAGTAATATGAGGATATTACTGGAAAAAGTTAATAAATGTTATCTAGGCAATCTAAAGGGAAACCATTTGAGACAAATTTTTTAAACATGGCCCTTTTAATAATAGTTAAGATTATAAGATTGGTCATTCTAGAGAGATCAAGCATCCCAAAAAGGAAATTAGTAAAGGATTCCATGCATTTTGTGCAATTAGCAAATAAGATCACGTGAATCTCATAAAAAAATATATAGTAAAGAAAATAGGTGTACCATATGCCTAATAGCCATATCCAAGGACTTCTTTGAGAGAGTTCTTCCAAACCCTGTGCTATCTGGAGATGAAGATGACTTGCCAGACAGATTACTACGAGGAGAGTTTTTGTTATCCATCATTGGTGGTGCTAGTTTTCGCATGTTAACAACCCTTTCAACCATTTTTGTTCCCATCATACCAGGACTGACATTATCATTTACTTTGGAGCGTCCACGGCTAACTGCAGGCATTGAGTTTCCACTTATATGAGCAGTGCCATTGGAAGTGCGTCCTCTTGAAGGAGAGCATGATTGTCGCTTAGGTCTTCCACTAGAAGAAGGCTCAACAGACGAAGATCGAGAAGTGGGAGCTCCAGGCCTGCCCCTGGTCGCTGACAGTGGCCTATCAGGTAGTGTTGTCCTCAAATTAGGTGGAGCATCAAGTGAAAACCCTGGCATCTCAGATGGCTTCCACGGTCTTGACCTCACTGTTGGCGATGTGCCGCGTGATGGTACTTGTTGCTGTCTAGTGGTCACTGGAGTTTGCTGTCTAGAAGTCACTGGAGCTTGCTGTCTAGAGGTCACTGGAGCTTGCTGCCTTCCTGTCACAGGAGTTGGCTGCCTTGCTTTCACAGGAGTTGGCTGCCTTGACGACATAGTAGCTGGCTTGGGGTTTGAAGAAATCTTAACTGATGAAGAAGATATATTGAGCTCATTTGATGGTATAGATGGTCGCCGAGTTGGAGTAGATGCTCTTGATGTGGACCTGGAAGGAGGTAAAGTAGGTCTGCTTGTTGGTGTTGAGGATCTTGCAGTCGATCTTGATATTGGTGTTGAGGATCTTGATTGAGTTGCTGGTTTTGCAGCAGGGATGGTGGTCTTCGTGGCAGAAGTCGAAGGCTTAGTGGTAGAAACCATGGTAGGCTTGGTTGTGGACATTGTGGTCTTGGATGTAGAAACAATGGGCCTAGTTGAAGGTATTGAATTACGAGTAGGTGTTGAAGATCTTGATGGTTTTGAAGTTGTGGTCAATGTAGGGCGTCCAGTAGGAGTTGCGGGTCGTGATCCGGGACCCCCTGATGACGAGGGCCTCCTAGTTCCACCACTTGAAGAGCTCAACACAGGGGAGGAAGTTTGCTGTCTTGATGCCAAGCTAGATCTCCCAGCAGGCTCCAATTGATGATTTGACAACTACAGCCACAAGAAAACAATTTGAAGAAAAATTAATTTCTAACAATAACAGTAACCAAGTGAGTTCTCATTAGGTGATATCAGCAACATGAATCAATCAATACCATTTGCTCTATCAAAAAAGTATCACTAAAACGCCAACAGGATACCAATGAATCTTTATCCAATGATGATAAAGAACGTCATCATTTTTTCACCACTAAAATTTAAAAAACTAAGAACAAATTTTACTCAATGATAATATTGAATATTCTCAATGCATATTTAATGAAAGTGTGCATTAGCCGACGACAACAAAACAATTGACATGACCTGAAAACTTGAAAGCTTCGTTGAGAATGCTTACTCTGGATTTCAATGCTGTGGGACGCGCGGTTGGAGTACCAAGCTGACTCATTACAGTCTTCCGAGTTTCCATTTCCAAAGAAGGGAAAAGAGGAGTACCGGGAGGAGTTAAAAGCCTGAAAAACATTAACCATGCTAAGCACCAATTTGACCAACAATCATTTGCATCACTTAAAATATTAACAAAGTCATGCCAGTCAAACATATAGTAGGCAGACAAAGAAACTAAATTACCTGTGATAACGAAAACTAATGTGATGCAGAATGAAGCTTATGTATGAAACACACTATCGGATACTAGCATAATACTATTTTAAAGTAGAAAATGGAGCGCAGGGAGTAAAAACAGAACAAGAGAAACAAATGCTATATTACATATGAGAACTTTGATGTTCAATTTCAATAAACATCTACTACCATCAACCGGTAAATGACTTTTGCAGGAGAAAATGCTCTAGGAACTATAACCTATAAATCTACACTTGTTTATCCAATCAAAAGCACAAAACTTCCATCAGGCATTGCTCTAACAAACACAACGTGGAGATAAATATTACGAGCCAAATATATGGATAATGGCAATTGAAAGACATGACATACCAGTCATAATCATTTTTATTGTTTTCCGAATTGAGAAATTCATCAGCACCGCTCTTTCGTACAGGAGCCGTTGGGATGGACGATGAAATGTTAAATAAAGGAGAATTGCCTGGATTTGAACCTGCAATCATGAAAGATACCATGTGACAGAGAAATCCCACCAAAATGTTTTTAAAAAAATTCATAAAACTGCATTGTCCGAACAACACAATCATTTTGCAACTCTTAGTTCACTTCTTCAAAATTCAAATCACATACATGGAAAGTTTACAAACACAAGTTGATAAGCTAATTAATCTTTGGACATGTTTAGATTGGCTTATTTATTCTTATGAATGGACTTAAGCACTAGTGAGTCTTTTTGAAAACATATCCATATGCTATTTTCGGCTTATACCTACATAAACTCTCTATGATAGTTTATGAAAACTGTGTAACAAACAACTAATACGAAAACAGTTTAACTTATTTGTCTTTTGTTATATAAATAGCTTAACTAAGCTGTTAATCTAAACAAGGATTAGTCAACAACTAAACACCAAAAACACTGCAAAGAAGAAAATCGACAAAAGCCACAAAACACACAACTCCAAAAATAGAAACTTTTGAGAATGAATTCATACCCAAAGCTGAATCAAACTCCTCCGAGGCGTGAAGCAGAAGATCATTCCGTTCCTTCTCTCGCTTCCTCATCTCCAGAAACAATGCGAGCTCCTCATCCTTCTCTGTGGTGACTGAACCCATCAAACCCCCAAATTGCTGCTCCCTCTGCTTCAAACCACCTTGCATTTGCGACTCCGGAGCTCTGAAGCTACGATTCATCCCCAAAATTCAAAAAACTCGAACCCTAAATCACTCAAAAAGCCCTAAACCAAAATTTCAACTCCGTTTCTCGTTCAATAACCGTATTTCACTGCACTAAATGCTCCGTAACCTCTCTCTAAGAAAAATTGGTGAAAATATGTAGAAGAGTTCAAATCTGTGCGGAAAAACGCAAAACGCTAGCAGCATGAATAAAACGGCATTGAAGTATTGAACTAAAGAAAAAGAAAAACGAAACAAGTTCTAGAAAACGCAATCGCGTGGCTATGGTGAGTATGAGAGGCGCGTGGAGAGAGAGAGAGAGAGAGAGAGAGAGAGAGAGAGAGAGAGAGAGAGAGTGGAAAAACGTGAAGTTTGAGTAATATGGCGGTGGAGAGAGTGAGGAATGAGTTAAGAAGACGGAGTGGTAGTGAGTGATAATAATGGTGATTGTACAAGGCTAAAATGGGGAATTCGATGAGGAAAAGACAGCGTTTAGCTCTCGTCGTTCCTATCGTTTGATGCCACGTTTCGTGATTTGGGAGTTAATCACGAAAATACCCCTTCGCATGTGACTTCCGCTTTTTGAATTCTTTGTAACGGTGGGGCTTTGAAGGCCCCAACTTGGAATATTGTACGACCTCAGTACTTAAGTCTATTTGGTTATGGTGGTCTATATTTGAAAATATATTTACATTTTAAAAAATCTAAATAATGCCCAATGTTATAATTCACTAGAGTGTATTTTAAAAATAAATAAATATATATATATATATATATATATATATATATATATATATATATATATATATATATATATATATATATATATATATATATATATATATATATATATATATATATATATATATATATATATATATATATATATATATATATATATATATATATATATAACTTGTTAAATTCAGAAGAAAATAAATATCATCTTCTCCCCTTTTAAAACAATTTCTCTCTAATAAATATTTAAATATTTTTGTATAAATTACAGTTTTTTATTTTCATATTTTGTCATTGAAATCAATTCTTTTTATTTTTTTTAAAAGGTTTTGGTTCTATTTTTAATTTATGTGGATTTTTTATTTGACGATATTTTTTAATTAATCTAACACAAATTATAACTTTTATTAATACTTAAATTAATATCTTAATCAAACATAGAAAACGAGAAGACAAAGTTGAAATTAAAAACGTAATATAAAAGAAGATGAAGTTAATCAAACACAAATTAATATCGAACAAAGTGAGAAGACGAAGTTGAAATTAAAAACGTAATATAAAAGAAGATGAAGTTAAAACCTTTTTAGATAATATCACAAAATCTTAATTTTTTTATGAAACTTGAGGAATATCTCAAATCGAAATCCTAACTTTCATTTCAATGTCAACCAGTGATGAAATATTGTACTCTTACGGTTTGAGGCGTTAAACATGGTTATATTAGAGTGCAGATGCAAGTTTATTATTATTTTGCTTAAAAGTCTAAAACATTACATAACATTTCGGATAGTGAAACAAAATAATCTCATAGGTCGTTTCAAAGACACAATTTGTCCTAAGGTTAAACAAATAATATAAAGGTTGAAGCTGAAAGTAGGATAAGACACTAACTTGACATTGAGATGATGATTTTAACCTCTTTAAAGTTATAAATGGTATTGAAACTTACGAGGTGAACATACAACGACATTAATGTGTTTTTCGTAAATGAGCTTTGACTGGCATTTCATGTGTCCATGTCATAGTTTGTATTTTGCATAACAAGTATTGAGATATTGTATTTAATCTAGTGGTTGAGATTGCACTATTTCATCTTGTGGATGTCATTATCTGATAACCCAATATATATTGCATTGGTAATCTCTTTGTAAAAAAAATCCAAAAGATTGAGAATCATATCAAAGAGTTGGTTATTTCACCAACAGTTTTCTGTTACACTTCTTTATGTTTTCTGTTATGGAAATTATTTCAATATGGTATAATTGAACCTTTGAATCTGTGGCTCCACGCAACACCATTAACTCTGGTGGCAGCTCTAGCTCTTCCGATCCCGTTTCAGATTCAACAAGTGCAGATTACGTCCATCCCAGCGATGGCCCTTCCACTGTATCCATTACTCTGATTCTCAATGGTTCAAACTACCACAGTTGGGCGCGATCAATCACCAGTGGAAAAATACCTTCTTAGCAGAGGTTTTTAAGTCAGTTCATCAATAACCCGACTTAAGAAACCACACGGTGGCAAATCCGTAAATATTTGAAACTTTGTTATGTCGGGTATATGTTTAACCGACCTACAAAGATTAAATAAAAAAAATATAATTTTCATTAAATTTCTTAAGTCGGTTCTTTTACTGAGCTGACTTAAGAAATTTATTTATTAAGTCAGGTGTTTATTACCTGACCTAAGAGGGTCTTACAAGACTCCGGTTCGATTCCTACTTAATATATTTTAGTAAAATAAAATAATTATAGTATAATTTATGTTATATGAGAAATCCAACAGATAACCTCACCACAACTATAATCATAAACCCTAAATTGATAATCAATGGAAAATGTATTGATATGGATTTCTCGCACACATCTCCTCCGCCGGCTACACATCCACTATTCCTCCCGCCGATTCATTTCTTCCCCCTGCCGAATTGTCGCAGGCCGAGGTCAGTTCCTGCTTGGCTTTCGCTCGAGATTGACCCAACCTTCTCAGGTTTGTGCTTCCAATTTCATTCCTCTGCTAACTGATTTTGTTCTTTTTCTCATTGAATTGAAATTGGTTTCAATAGGTTGCTTTTTATGAGAGACGTTGCAGTTGTGGTTGAACATGGCACCCCCTTTCTGTTTCCAGACTCTGAGGATTTCGTTTCGAAGATGAAGTCGTTTGTATCCAACGGCGACTCCACTGTTAGTGTTATCTACTGCTATATTCTTCTATTTTGCTAACTTCTTATATACTATAATTTCATATTTAGGTTTCATCATTCTCTCAATCTTTCACCACAACTTTCATTTTCTCTCCAATCACCGCTACAACGTTTCACTTTGAACTCTACAAATTAGGTATGTTTTCATGATTATGCATGTATGGTGGTTCAGTTTCTTTGAATGTTTGATGGAGTATTGATGAAATGTTGTTGTGAAATTGAATATGGAATTAATTTGAATTTTAGATTTATTATTATATTTAAGAAGAGATTTAGTTTATTTTGGTGATACTATTGTTCTTGTTTCAGACACACTCACTGAGAAATTTGTAAAGAAATACTCATTTGTTTTTAATGGTGGTAATCAAAAGCTAGAGGATTTAACCACAGTTACTACCAGCAGCTGCACTTAGCGATACTAAACGGAGATTGGGAATCTACGAAGGCTTTTATTGATAACGATCCAACCGTGTTAACAACGAAAGTGACCATACTTGGCAGGAATGCACTTCATGTTGCGGCTGTGGGAGCTCAGTGGAAACTTGTTGAGAAATTAGTACAACATATGCCTGCAAGTACGGTTGCAGAACTGGATTTAATGGGTTGTACTTGCCTTCACTATGTCGCAATGGGCGAAAGCGTAAATGCTGCCAAGGCATTGGTGGCTAAGAATCCTTCTGTTACACAAGTGACTGATTATAAAGGATTCACACCACTGATCTATAGTATCACGTCTACCAATTGTAAAGAGATGGTTTGGTATCTTGTTTTGAATACTACAGACGAAAGGCCTGGTTGTCCGTTCTCGGGTCCCTCATCTAGTCATCTTGTTGCTTTGCTTACTGCCGCCGGATTTCACGGTAATTATTATGCTTTAATAACAAAGCATATAAAACACTATGTTACTCATGTTTATATCCTCTTTGAATCTTCCATGTGTAGATATCACCATGTATCTTCTGCAGCACTATCCTAACTTGGCTACTATTTCTGATTCAAATGGAAGCATTATACTTAATGTTCTGTCAAAATTGCCATCACACTTTCAAAGTGGACACAAGCTTGGGTTTTGGAAAAGTTTCATTTACCACTATAAGTACTTTCTTTAAGCATAATTATTATGTTATAATGCTTGATTGAAAATTAGCATTTCTTATACTATATCAGGTGTTCCTGTGGAAGTTGAATCTGGAAATACAATATGAAATGCACTTCAAATTCTTGGTATGTTTCTGTGAATCATTATCTATTACACACTAACGCTAACACGCAAACATGACATTGACATGTAGACCATGATAAAAAATGGAAGTGATAGAATGTAGCAACATGTGTATGTGTCGGACACTAGACACTCTGGTGCTACATAGATAATTTACTTAACTTATGGTTCTTATTTTCTTTTTTTGCAGTTCCTAGCATAAAACTAATTAGAGATACAAAACTGAGAGATGTATATGCTGTGAGATTAGCAACAAGATGACTAAGTGCAGCTGCTGGTAGTAACTTAGTAGGTGGCTTAGAAGGTGATTGTAACGGTGTAGATCTCGGGTTCAATACGCCAGAAAAAGCTGAATCACCGCCTGCAACTCTGGATTCTGGACCTAGCTCCTCAGGAATTACTGGTAAGTGTTTGAATCTCAAATTTAAATTATGCAAATGTCGTTGAATCTATGTGCTTATTATTGAATCAGATAACTTTTGTGTATGACAGGTTCAGGTGAAATGTTGAACTGTACAAATAAACTTTATATGATGACCATAATGATATTAGCCATAACATTTCAAAACTGGATTTGAAATGGAACATTCAAGATTATTACGGTTTATCGATATCAGTGCTGAAATATTATTGCAGTTAGTTTCAATAATACAGTAATTCTGACATGTGGCCATTAAATAATTTGTATTATTGATTATCTACGTATTCTTTTTCACTCATGAAAATTGACTTTGGCCGGTAAATAATGCTCATTCCGAAGTCACCAGCTTCTTCAGCTCTTTTTTGTTTACCTGAAATTTTAATAATTGAAGAATTAATCATAGAAATTTTTGGGAAATCTTCTAGGAGCAACCG